TTTAACTAATTCACGTGCCTATTTGTAAATCAACATTTTTTATTATTTATATTATTGTAAAGTTTCATTAAAATCCGTCCAATAGTTTTTAAGTGAAAGAGTAACAAACATCCATATATCCTCACAAACTTTCATATTAATTATAATCTTTGTAGGATTTTTTTTACTATTAAGTGTGCTAGTTGCAAATAACTGTGACTTTACCAATATGAAATATCTGACTGTAGAATAGTTAAAAATTATGGATAATGTAAAACATTAAATCCGGCCAAGTGCGAGCCTGCCACGTGACCGAACATATAAGTAGGTACAATATACATTTCACCATACGATATTATAAAAACGGTTAAAACCTTATTAAAATGAGTTCATCAAGGTATTTTATTGTACATAGACACTCCAGACGTTGACTTAAATAAATAAAGCTTTGTAAAGCACCGATATCATTCTTAAGTACCATTTGAAGACACCCCGCACGCTTAGTGCACACGATTTTTTTCTCTACTTGTATGAAGTGCCACTCTTTTTTTTTGCGTCTTGACAACGCCGTTCTTAACAGTTAAGAAGATATTGTCGTCCAAATTTCAGCTATATAGTAGCTTGAATTAGCCGAGTACAATGGTTATGACTTAGTATGACGGACAAACAGACATGACGAAATTGTAAAGGTACAGACACGGTAATAGTACATGCATATATATATATATATATATATATATATATATATTTATATATATATATATATATATATATATATGTATGTATGTATGTATAATAAATAATTTTTTAATTAAAAGTCACGTAGATGAAACCGCGATAACAGCTAGTTTTAATTTTAATTATAGGTAAGTACCTATATCAATATAATTAAATCAATATTAGAGTTCAAATTAAGAGTGCATATTTGTTTTCTAACAATAAGTTCCATAGCGACAAATCTATTATCTCACCTCTGTTAATATATTTGTTCCTATAATACCAATATAATAATAGCATGCATAATGCTTAAAAGTTAAAACTAAATAATGAAGATCAATTCTATGTGAGCGTATGTAGGTGCGGGTCAATGACATTAAACTTGAATGAGATTCGATGTTCGAAATTTAAATTGTTACAGATAATACAAAATGCGATAGAATGTGTATTGAAACACGAATTAAGGCAAAGGTAAATAATTCGATTGACTTTTGATTTTTTAATATCGAGAAGTTTAATTATTCTCTTTATATCGATATCGTGTTATGTGTAGAATCATGTGGCTACTAAGTTGCCATCAAAATATAATTGTGTACACACTTAAGAAAGGGAGAAAATAAATAAATACCCAATTTAAATATTAGCCTGGGTAGAAAAATTAGCTAATTAATAATTTTATCATCATACTGTTTTTGTTAGCAGTAAAAAACATGTGCAATACTTGATTACCAAATACACTTATTATTTAATATGTGTTTATAAAATAAATAATTCCTTGGCAAACAAGATTATTTATTAGATAGCACGAAAATAATCTATCAAGTATCAGCCATTATGTCTATTGAGTTTTTTTAGGAAAATCCGCCTCTCAGAGTCCTCTGATTCTGGCACGTGAGAAGTAGATCCCGTCTGAGGCTACGATTATTATTTATTCGTAGGTCTGAGACATCTAGATAAGTTTTACTCACAGACAGATTACACTACTCTAAAATCTTCTCTTCTACAATCTAATCTTCTACAATCAATTATTCTTGCTGCTGAATAAAGTTAAATTGATTAGCAAATTAAACATTATTTTACAGCTTGCCAAAAATGATCTACGATATTCAGTATGTACAATGTACATATATACGTATACCTACAAACTAAAATGACCTAAGATTTGCTGCTTTATTATTATTGTTCATAAAATTAAGTTATGAACTCAATGTTAGACCAGTCCAATTTTATTATTTTTGCTGCCCGCTATTTGCTAACAAAAAACATTTTCGATCGCAAATAAATTTTATTTATTTATTTTTTATTTTTATCTTCTCTACTCTTTTTTTGTGTGCGCAATAAAGAATTCATCTATCTATCTATCTAAATTCTCAATTACCCGTTAAATAAAAGCTCGTTATAATAATCATGCTTTCAAACTTTTTATATATAGGTAATCATCGTAGTTTTAGAATTCAGCCCTATTTTAACGTCCCACTGCTGGGCACGGGCCTCGACCTTCAATACAAGGGGGATCAGGCAATCGTCCACAACGCTAGCCAAGTGCGGGATGGCGGACTTCACATGTCTTTCGAAAACTAGGTTCTTCCAGATTTGCATAATTGCTCACGATGTTTTTTTTCACAGTAAGACAATGGTAATCATGTAATAGAATTTTATTTCAAATAAATAGTCGGATAGCTTGTTTGGAAGTTTAAATTGTTTTGCTTCGTTACGCGTAAAAATTCTAATTAATTTGAAACGCACTTGTTTGATAAGGACTCATAATACTCATGATTTGTAGCTACATTATTGTTTTATTGAATTTCCTTTGGTAAATAAGTGAATCAGATGCTACAACATGACAGGAATAAAAGTGAATCACAAGATATATTATAAGTTCAAGGAAAAATGAATGTGTTATGGTTTTAACTAATTGGATGTGCTTGGACATTTTTTAGGTTTCCAAAAATTAGTGAATTTGTCTCGTTTCACAGTATTTTTATTTAATTAACACGCTTATTGTACATATTAACTATAATTGAATTGTTGTAAATAGGTTTTTTTGAAATAAAATGATTAATTTAAAATATATTAATAATATAATACAAGCTGGTTTCGCTCGTGTCTCATAGAGAGAGAAAACTACTTAACACGATGTTTTCTTATTTGTAGTCAACTGACATCAGTTTACATAAAATAATAAATATATAATGAATAAGTGAAAATTAGTGTACTGTTTCTAATTATAATTTATACACTTTCTCCTTTTTGAAGAAATTAAAGACAATTGAAATTTCCATAACCATTCCTTTACATTTAAAATAAATATGTACATACTCGTAATATGGATAGCGCGAACCTTTTTGAATTGGTAAATCTCTAATTTCATAAGTTTCATTTTCTTATATTTGGTTTTCGATCCATTTCACTTACGGATTACTCAAAGGGAAGAGGTCCTAATTCTGCTTTCCACAGACCTGGCCTAAATCCTCTAAAAACCTTCTAACTATGAGAACCCAAAAAAAAAAAATTTCGGTTCATACGTCTTCGAGTAATCGGTGAATACATTAAAAAAACCGACGAATTGAGAACCTCCTCCTTTTTGGAAGTCGGTTAATAATAACAATATTTACCTATAGCTATACAATATACCACCACGGGCGGAAATAAAACCCATGACCTATAGCAGTAAGTAACGTGGAGACATGTTCCACTGCGTCGCAAGTGCACGTCCCAAAAAAATGCTTACATTTTGTTATTTTTAATACCATCAAGACATTTTCGACAGTATTTTCCTACATAACTGGATTCAGGTGCAGTAACGGGCAGAAGTGATCTCGGCCGCTATTGTACTTAGTAGTACCGTTCAGCTAATAAATGTTCGGATGTAACTGTTCCACTAGCTCCCAGGCTTTTGTGGGAAAATCATATTTGTGAAATTTAATTATTCATGCCACTTAAGTTTTGGGTTATCTAATTTATGTTAATATTTTGATAGGCTCTGTATGTACTATCAATGGGATTTTTTTTGGATTTGTATTTTAATATTCAAGATATTATTTAAATACGTTGACAACAAACAAAAATACACAAACTAATAATAAAGCAAAATTAAAAAGAAATTAATACAAGAGCGAAGAATATCTATCCAATTGTGAGAGTCTTATTAGGTTGATATTTTATAATACCACACATCATAAAATATATTTTTATGAATTAAAAAAATAGACATTCATTTGATAATATTATAAAATTAATTAAATACATTATGATAAGTAAATATATACAAAGACACGCACATTACTCATCTTCCAGACATATCAGACGGAAATCACATTAATCGGCAAGGGCCAAGGCGTGCCTGCATATATACTAAAATGCACCCAGACATCTCTATAGCACTTCACCCCCCTCTATCGATACTGCGCGACACATGCCATGACTAAAATGTAAAACCCAATATTCTGAATTATTATTTAAAAATAAATTAATAAAACTCACTTTTTTAGGCCCGTTCTGCACTATTGTATCGTACTCCATGCCTTCCACAGACATTTTCACTTAAAAAAATTAAACACCAAAAAGTTTACACTGAAAAAGGTTTTATATACGATTTTCAGTTCTGAAATCGTGAACACTGGTATTTATTGTAGAAAAATCACTGTCTCCATGAAATGATTTATTTTAATTATTAATTTAAATTAAATAATCAGATTGTACGTCGCGCCGACCGCCGGCACTGGTACTACTAAAAGACGCCCACACAGCCTCCCTTGCTCCAGCGAGTGAATTCAACATACAATGCTATATGCATAGCAAGTTGATATAGCCATAGTGCTTCTGTAGTAAATGTAAGGTGCGACTCATATAAGCTGATTTTGATTTTTGTATATTTGCGACACTTTTTACGCATTTAATATATTTTGGGATAATTGGTATAGAAGATTTTTTTTATTAATTTATCAAAATTATTATAAACAAAAAGTTATAAATAACTATAAATTTTGGCAAAAAATTTCGGTGTCCAATTTTTTAACGAAAATGCTGAAAGTCATTAGTAAGAAGTTGTCTGACAACTGTTGTCATTTGTCACTTGTCAGTGCTCACTCCAACACTTGTCAAATAGTAGTAAACAAAACGCGAAAAAACAAATTAAGTAATCTAAATTATATTTAATAAATCTTTACTGTAATAACCTTGTGTCAAAGAAATACTTAAGCACTATAATTGTCACTACATAGTATATAGTAAACCTATTGTATTTTCACAAAGTGTTTAATTTTATTTTTAGGTTAAGATTATATATAAAATTTTAATTGATAATGTGTGAAAATCTGAAAATATTAAAGCAAGGTGCTGAAGCCAAGTTATATATTTGTAATTATCTTGGCAAACCCACTCTTATTAAAGAAAGATTTAAGAAAAATTACAGGCATCCAGACTTAGATAACTCTATAACCAAGGGAAGGATAAAAAATGAAGCACGATCTATTGTTAGATGTATGTCGGCAGGAGTAAAAACACCAGCTTTATATTTAGTAGACTTTGAACGTCGGCGCATTTACATGCAACATTTTGAGCAAAGCATAACTGTGAAAGATTTTATAATAAATTTTAAAAGTATAAACAATGTGAGTGAAGATTCTGCCAACAGCCTCGATATTTATGCTGAAAAAATTGGTCAAACCTTAAGAAAATTACATAATAATAATATAATCCACGGAGACTTGACAACTTCTAACATGCTTCTTGTTGAGATAAATCCAAGTGGTATTGCTGATGATAAAAGATGGTTGAATAATGAAAACGTGGACATAGTTATGATAGATTTTGGTTTATCTTGCATTGATTCTAGTGCAGAAGACAAGGGAGTAGATCTCTATGTTCTAGAGCGAGCATTAATAAGTACCCACAATGACTATCCAGAGTTATTTGAAAAAATATTTAAGGCTTACAAAAGTTACAGTAAAAATAATATTAATGAAATTATAAATAAATATGAAGATGTAAGAGCAAGAGGCAGAAAAAGAACAATGGTTGGATAACATTAATATAAAGCTATATAACATTGTTAAATTGTTTTAAATAAATAATAAATGATTTACACCTTTCTTTTAATTTTTTATTAAATTTATAATCATTGTTGGTATAATATGTAGTCTAGAGCAAATTAGGCTGCAAATAAAATATAAATCAAAATGTACTTTATTCAAATAGACTTTTACAAGCTCTTTTGAATCGTCAGTTTTACATTTTAAATTAAAATTAAATGTCAGTGTAGTCATTTCGTGAGCAAGCTAGCACCGGCTCAGAATGCAGTTTTACTGCAACTTCAGGGCACTTACATGAGCAGGACACCCTACCCCACAATTGAAAATTATAGGTGTTTTAATTGTCTTATGTGAAATTAATTAGCTGAATGTGGTTATGTGAATGTTTACAAATTATAAAAAGTAGATACAAAAAAACTTTTCATTTTTTGCATTATTAGGAACTTTCTTAAATTTTCCAGTATACCCCACACTTCTAAATCTCTTTTTTTTAGTTTTTATCTTTAACTGTCTAGAAACTGATATACATCATACATTACCTATAAGTTGTATCTTACAGTTATACTGCACAAGAGTAATCTAACCCATATATATTTTAATGTAATGTAGTCTGTACGTATAATAAAATTCTAACTGAGTCAAATCTGTATATTAAATATTTTATGGAAAATTGTATTGAAGTAGTTATTAGTACTGAAACAGAGACCGAATTTATCATTTTTAGAATTTTTGTCAGTCTTTCTGTCTGGGAACGCTCTCACGAGAAAATTACTGGACAAATTTTGATGAAATTTGGTATGATAATAGCTGGCTATCCAGATCAACATTTAGGATACCTTTTACTGTGGGAAATATCTCATCTCTGAGAAATCTGTACTAAACGTTAAAATTATAGAGTTTATTGCTACATTTATAAAGTTAAAAATAAATATAGGTAATATACTTTGTTGCATTTGTGTAAAGTATTACAAGTTGAAATAATTCAAAATTTAAATGGCAACAGCAACACTACATACAATAAATGTCAAAACTTAAAAGTTCTATTCGTGCTGTAACCTAAAATTGTTTTTATTTGGATTATAGGTACAAATCTGTAGAAATTAAATAAAAATAATAACAAGAACCAAAAATGAAACAACGAGCTTCATTGCTATCAAAAACGATACTTATAAACAACAGCACAAAAAATTTAAATACAATAAGTAAGTTCTTAAATTTATTCCTATTGCTTGACCGTAAAATAATATTTAATGAATGAATTATACTTTTAACAATTTTGTTTTAAGGATGCCTAAGTACAAAAGAGGCCTTGGAACGTCGTAATCATCTTTTCGTGCTAGAGAAGAAACGGCAGCAAGAAAAGGTTGGGAGAGTTGAGAAAATTGAAGTTAACTATAAAGGTGTACCTAATAACTGTACATTCGTTATGAATAAAGATATTTCTACACCATATGACTGTGCCAGACGTAAGTTAATAGGATTTCGACTATTGTTTCTTATTATATTATTCCTTTGAGTTTTATATCAGTTCCAAAAAATAGATAATTGATTTATATAAATACAATTAATAATATTATGATAATAGTTTAATTAAAATTAAAAAAATAAAAACTGCTTGATTAAGATTTAAGAAATTACTATGATTATCATTGGAAGTGTGAAATAATTAAGTTTTAGAATTTTCCATTCCTGCTTTTTTAGTCAAGTTATTGACATCATATGCTACGGGTTCCCCTCTTGGCGATTCACATGTTGCATGGTGTATCTATATCCATACTAATATTATAAATGTGAAAGTTTGTAAAGATGGATGTATGGATGTTACTCTTTCACGCCAGAACGGCTGGACGGATTTGGATGAAATTTGTCACAGAGATAGATCATAATCTGGGATAGCACATAGGTTACTTTTTATTCCAGAAAATGTATGGTTCCCATGGGATTGATTTGTTTTGGTCTAGGGATAAACTCGAAGTTTGTTAAATATGTAGTGTTTCAACTGAATTTTTTGTGTTTAAAATATATAAAAAAAATATATGATTTTTTTTAGATTTAGGAGAGTGGCATATGGAGTCCAGTGCTTTGGCTTTGTTGGATGGTTCAGTACACTGGGATATGCATAGACCTCTTACTGAAAACTGCACATTAGAGGTGAGATAGTTCGTAATTTTAATAATAATACTTATATGCATACAATTTTTTTCGAAATTAGAAACTTATAAAAAATACTGTATTATAGGTTTTAAATCAATTATCTTAAAGATACTTTCTTTAAATTAATAATTTTGAGAGTAGGAGATCTCATAAAGGAAATGAAACATAAAAACATAAAAAATCTTATATTATTTTTAACAAATTGGCCCTAACATTTCCTCAGGCAATTCATCTGCTATATATTTCTTTATTGCATTTAATTCATATGTATATTCGTAACCAAATGATCTTGGGTTAGGAAATTATTTTTAATTTGTGGTAACTAAATATTTTAACTTCTTGTCATATTCCTTGCGAGACAGAGGCAGAGAGTTAGAATTTTTCCACATAAGTGGTAAATACATATGTGTACTACTATCTACTAATTTTCATGGTGGTCAAAAATGTATTGTGTAAACACTTTGTTATGTAAACACTTAAATGTCAAAATTTCAAAGGGGTCAGTAAAGAGTTTTAGATATTTGCAATTTTACATAAACAATCATTTTTTTACATACAGACATTTTTATTAATGTAGATGAATACTAAATTTATACTAAATGCTATTTAATAAATATATATATAAGTCTGATTATTAATTTTCATTTACTGAACAGCTACAAAGATACAACATACCGGAGCCACAGCAAGTCAACAAAGCCTTCTGGCGGACATGCTCCTTAGTTCTTGGTGCTTGCGCAACTGTTGCCTTCAAAGAGTCTGTTCCTGTCAAATTGCATAGTTTTCCTGGACCAGATAGTAAGTATATTTTAGAAACTGTGTTTTTAATATAATATTAAATATGACTAGTGTCTACATTATAAGCTGCCGTGGCCGAAATCGGTCAGAAGCATATTGACAGATATTTTTTTATAGATAACAGTCTTGGCTTTTAATTAGCAATATTCCTAGCTTTTAATTATACTTTGTATGTGGTAAATAAATAAATATTTTCAGTCCGTAGTGGTTCCTTCATTTACGACATAGACCTCCCAACTCTGGAGTGGAGTCCCTCCCACCAGGAGCTGCACACCCTGAGTGCGGAGTACGTGCAGCTCTGCAGGAAGCAGCTTCCGGTGGAGCGCCTCGACGTGTCACAGGAGTTGGCGTTGGAAATGTTTGTGGATAACCAGCACAAGGTTAAGCAGATACCAAGTATAGCTAAAGCCACTGGTAAATATATTAAGTAAATATATATTATTAACGCAATAGATCCCAAAACAATGATTTTTAGAATTTTTGTCTGTTTGTCTGAGCGTTTGTGCGCGCCAATCTCAGAAATGGCTTAACCGATTTGGGTGCGATTTTCACTAATAATAAATTAGTGTTAAGATTCACTTAACATTTAGTGTTTGTTTTATTTCAATCGGTTCATAAATAAAAAAGTTATGTCAATTTAAAGAATCGCCTAATTTTATAATAATTAATATATTTTAATTTTTTAATCTATAATAATTTATTTTCAGGCAAAGTGACGTTATATAAAATAGACAAATATATAGATATATCGAAAGGACCGATGATAGCTAACACGGGGCAGATAGGACGAGTTGCCGTCACGTCAGTTCACAAGTTACCAGGTATTTATACTACTATTATTGGGAGTTAATGCCTCATAGGTGGTCGTAGGTTCCGTTCCGTAGGACATTTTAGTTAAATATTTAGATTTTATTATATCTATCCCCATCCTCTAAGGATTGAAGCATAATGTTACATTACCTGGGCGATTTTCGGTTCGCACTGCGTAAGTGTTCGTCCAGTAAGCTATCATCCGATGCGATATTATTTATGAAAAATTGCATTTATTTAGAAAAGATATATGTATATTGTTGAACTTAAACCAAAACCTTACTTAAGTTTTGTTCCAAATCGTTAGAGCCGTTACCGAGATACAGGAAATATATTTAGTAACCATGTGTTATTTCAGACTATAATCTATCAAAGTTCAGCCGTTCTGGCGTGAAAGAGTAACAAACATCCATATTCACAAACTTACACATTTATAATGTTATATGGGATTGACTGTTTATTTCATAATATTTATCAATTTATCTTTGCTGTGTTTTTATTATATAGATGATTATTCTCATTGCAGGGACAGCGGAGAGTGACGTCAAGCAGCTGTACAGGTTCCAGGGAGTGGCGCTGCCCACTGGAGTCATCTTGAACCATTTCGCTTTCACCATTCTCATTGAAAGAGCCAAGAAATTGGTAAGTATTAACAAGTGCTTATTATAGTATCTTAATGTGTGAGAGAAAAATATGACTTCGATATAAGTTTAAACTTTCGTGGTCTGAAGAATACAATTAAAACACCCGTGTTTTTGTGCTATTTATATCTATAGATCACTTGACATTGGCAGAAATAAATCATGTTAAGATTATATTATAAATAGCCATTAATAAAAAAACGAGTTAGTTTTCTTTAACTGGTATGGTTTGAAGCAATTAACATGAAAATTGAATTTTTATTATAATAGATTTCTCAAAGATGAGATGTTTTCCCGCAGTAAAATGTATCCTATATGTTGACCTGGATAACCAGCTTTCACCGTACCAAATTTCATCAAAATCTGTCCAGTGGTTTTCTTATGATGCGTTCCCAGACAGACAGACACACAAAAATTCCAAAAACTCTAGATTCGGCCTCTGTATCGATAATAATGACTATTTCAATAAGATTTCCCATAAAATATTTAATACAGATTCGACTCATAATTTTATTATATGTATATATTATTATAATAGTTTTATTTCTTTGTTTCATTTCTAATAATCATGTAATTTATGTTTCAGAACTCAGCACGGTCTCCGCTACATCCTTACACTGATCACAGGGAGCCACAAGAGAGCATGGCAGCGAGAGCATAATATATAGTTAATTATGTTAAATGTGTATAGAATTAGATATTAAATATAATATTTAATAATGGTTTTATTTTTATATTCTACTAGCCGTACGTTACGTTTTAACGTTTAGTATAGATTTCTCAGAGATGAGATATTTTCCCGCAGTAAAAAATATTCTATATGTTGACCCGGATAACCAGCTATCATCATACCAAATATCATTAAAGTCTGTCCAGTGGTTTTCTCGTGATGCGGTTACAAACAGACAGACTTCCAAATACTATTGATTCGGCCTCTGTATCGATAATAATGACTATTTAAATAAGATTTTCCAAAAAATGTTTAATGTTCGACTCAGATAGATTATTTATTTAAAACAGTGATAGCCCAGTGGTAATGCTCGTTTGGGAAACCAAGTTAAGCGGGTTCAAATCCATGATCTCGCTCCTTTGATATTTTTATCTGTTAATCATTTCCAATATGATTACCACTTGTCTTACTCATTGTGAGGGAAAACATCGTGAGGAATTTGCATGCCTGAGATAACCAAGCAAGTTCTTGAAAGACACAGTTCACCAGTACAAAGATCATTCAATTTCAAGATGTATAACTTAAAAAAACTTAAAAAGATATATTTCAAAACAGGATTATTAAAAGAGATTATAATAATTTAAAGTTTATATATTTACAACGTGTATACAATTATTGTATATTCTTTAAAAGAAAGTTGGTTTCAAACAACTGGATTGCCATTACTAAAAAAGTAAGAACGTGGTCCAATAATAGTAATCCGATTATTTCTTAGATGGAAACTCTGTTGAATGCATGATGAATTAATGTACAATTTTAAATATATATTTTTTTTTAAATAAAACATCGATAGAGTCTCACGTGACCATGATTGCTGTAAAGCATTTGAAACGTCGGGAACCAAAAATCAAAATAAATCCGGGAAAAACTAAAAAGATAGTTTTATTTAAAAAAGTTATATTATCAAATTCATGTCAACTCAAAGCAAAGTGATGGCGAAGTAAAATTTTTTTATTAAAATTTACTTCGCCATCACTTTGCTTTGAGCAAAATGGCATTGCTCTTGGCAACTTAAAATATATGGATTTTGTATCTAAGCGTTAGATCACGTGGTCAATATTGTCCAAATTAACGACATCGATATATGAAAGTCATTTTTTCTAAACAGCTATCTGGGCCTCTGCCTTTATTGTATATTTATATAATCAAGTTTCCGATGATTTTGGTTTTTTGGCATCAGGTCCTTCATCATCGTCTTGGAATATGGGAGTCGGTTGAGTTTTTTTATAAGCCGGAGCCACCCAGAAGGGATTTTCTTCTGCCTCCTTCGCATATTTCAGTATAGCCTCCCTCGGGTCCTGGTCATCATCCACTCGTTTACTCAAACCCAAGTTTCTTATGACGAAGGAACTGAGTGTACTTCCAGAGGCTGCTACTCTTCCACCCTGACCTGATGTGATTGGAAGATCAGGCCTGTGGGATTTGACAGGATCCAGTCTATCTTTCTCCATTCTTTTCTTACTTGTCCTCAATTTTTCTTGTCTGAACAACGGTAGAGCATGAGGAGTGATTATTTGTTGGGAACTAACAACTTCCATGGACTGCTTCTTTCTGTGAGTCTTTACAAGGCAAAGTTTCGCACCTCTTAAACTTCTCTTTTTGTCGTAATAAATTTTAACTGTCCCATTTCCACAGCCCGTAAATATTTGGTTTAACTTTGGATGCCACACAGCTTTTATTATGTGAGATTGTGTCACATTAAAATGTGTAACTTCTTCAAAAGTCTTTGTATTATAAAATATTAGTCGACCAAACTTCTGATTCTTTTGTAAGGACTCTCCTGTAAATACCATATTGTCATCCGGACTAAAACTACAGTCTGTCTGCTCATATCTTGAAAACAGATCACTAAACACATGTAATGGCTTCTTAAAACTTCGCAAGTCCCATAATTTTAGAGTTTCATCATTTCCCCGACTTGCCAAATATGTCCCCAAATATGAAAAAGCAATGGATGTCATTTCAGTCTGTTTCTGATGGGCATCTCGAAGTGAAATTGTTGTGTTGACATAGTTCTTCCTATGATCCCACATTTGAATAGAACCGTCAAAACATCCACACGCAACGGTGTTGCCATCTCTTGAGAAAGCACAGGCAGTAGGATTGGTCTTCAATCCACCAAGTTGTCGAGGTTTGATCACTGCTTTATGGTTTTTAGGGTTTTGTGTGAGCCATAATCGAAGGGTTCCATCTTGGGAACATGTCATAAACTCTTCTCTGATATGAGGATGCCAACAACCACTGTTCAAAGCAGCTGTATGGCCTTTAGTTCTGTAAGTGATAAATATGAATATTGAAGAAAGAAAATAATTGAAATATACAACACTTATAAATATACCCTTAAGAGTAAGCACTGTTAATAATGCTTTTCTAAAGATTCATTTATTATTCGTTTTCACATATAATTAGGAATGCATTCGATACAAATACTGATATATCAGAGATGTATGGGATATATCAGTAACAATGGTACAAACATTTGTACAAATTTAAATAATGAGCTGAAGATAATATTATATGCATATAATATAGCAATAAAGGCAATTTAAATTATAAACATGGCATAATTTATGTACGCTCTCGGAATCCACATGTTTTATTCTTTGTCTGACCTGCCCACACCACCTATAATATTTCTGGCATTAATAATAATTAAGGAGATAAATATCATATGATAAAAAACTATGTACCTAGCCATATCAGTGATGTACTGATCCCCTTTAACACACTCCAACACTTCAAATCCATCTCTATCCAGCACTTTAGCTTGTGCCGAACCACTGACTACTAGAATAGAGTCACCTGTTGCAGAATACTGTAGAGCTTTGATGGGATGGTTCTCACATGGATATAATGAGCGAAATGATCGCATTGAGGAGTCCATACCTGCAAATTGTGAAATTAAGTCAACAGATAATTCATAATACCTAATTTTCTTTTCAAATTGAATTATAATCTATTAAAATGTTTTTAAAACAGATGTTCCTTAAAAATTCTTAGTATTGTTTGTTAAAAACAATTACTAAGTATTAAAACTCAAACTGAGTTAGGGATGAATAGTAAATATACCTGCGAAGTCCCAAAAAGTGACATTGTAGTCAATAGATCCAGTTGCCAATCTAGCACCAGACGGGTCTACTGCAAGAGCAGTCACTGCTTTTGGTCCATGATGCATTTCTACCTAAAATTCAAGAAAATTAAAGATAAAAATAATTTATATTACACAAAAAAAAAAATTAATTATTTTATTTAAAATTGTATATAAATAAAGAACAGCATTTATTATTCTTTATACTAAATACCAACCTCTTCTTTATAAGGTATTCTATCAACAATTGATAGTTCTTCATCATCAGAATCACTCAGTTCATTATAACTGTCATCATCTTTCTCATCATTTTTATCATCTTTCATTTCATTATTTTTGTATAGATTTGAGGGTATTGGAGGACCTATTAATTCGTCATCACTGCCATCATCAGCAGAAGGTGGTAAAGGACCTATCACACTACCTTCATTATCTTCATTGTTACTATTATTAGACTCTTGTTCTGTATCCTGTTCTGATAGAGCTTTCTTTTTATTTACTTGTAATGCAGTTTTTTTCGCTTCTTTTATCATCTCTTCAAGGTCAAAGTTCTTGGCTTTTTTACCAAAGTTTTTGATTCCCATCACGCGTTGCACATCACGTGTTTCGGGGTCATCCGCTATTTCTTCTATATCTTTATGTTCTTGAATGGGTGTTCGGCCGAATGTTCCAAAGCCTGATGTAGAACCATCATCATTTGATGATAGTTTTTCGATGTTAAAGCTGATTTTACCAAACGATATTGGTTTCTTACTCATTTTTTCACATACATATATTAATCATATATAATAATCATTGATGACTACTAAAAAATCTATATGTACCCTAATTATTATTTTGCTTGTTAATTTATATTTTTGTAAACAAAACGAAACAAAATACAGACGGTAAATGTCAACTGTCAAGTTTTAACCTCAGTATATAACTCAAATTCAAAAGTCTCTTCCACAGGCTATTAATAGAAAAATAAAATAAAAAATAATTAGTACTAAAAAGTGACGTCAATGAGATTTGATTTGAAAATCCACGATAAATTTTAGTGAAGAATATTGTAAAGAAATTCATTATTTATTTAACATCAAGTTATCATACTATTTTTAAATCTATGATTTATATTTACAATCTATATTTCAGTAATACCAGTTTGATTATAGTTTTTATGTTTTTAGTAATGCTTTAAAGATAGTTCATTAATTCTAAGCAAGCATTTAAATTTTTTTAAGGTATTTCATATTCAACTCATTGCTTCCATAGGTATTTTTTTATATTTTCAAGAAATTATTAAGTAGCAGGTGCTCTAGATTCCTATTCATGGTAATTGCATTTTTTGCATATTTGTTTTGAGTTAGCCGCTGTATATAATGAGAACAATAAAAGATCAAGATAGCTATATAAAGTAGGTATTTCAATTTTTTTACAATAAATTACGTCTGCAATTTTGGTTTGTAAATTCTGTCACAAATTGTAAAAAAAAAAAATTTTGTTTCGAATGTTAACCCGGTTTTATTTTGTTCCCGTCGCGACGTTGCGACGAAAGTTATTAATCGTGTGTACGTGCTTACGCTGAAACCTTTTGAATGAATTATAGTACATACTAGATAGACTGTGACTAGCTTTATATAAAATAAATAAAAAAATTCATCGAGGTTTTGATGTTAGCCGTTGTGCAATAAAAAAATAGGAATTCAAAATCTAAATTAATCCAGCTGCTTTTAATTATTATGTACGTATAAACTGATGTTTTTTTGTATGTAAATATTGCCAATTATGACTTACTTTTTACTCTATTTCTATATTAAAACATAATTTTCCATGTTTTCCAATTACAGCATTAAAGCGTATTATGCGGCATAATGTTTAACTTCAAATTTCTTAACTACATCAACGCTCCGCACAATCGAGCACTTAGAAAAGAACTGCTTTCGCGTGATGCGCGCAACTCAGTAGCAGAAAATATTATAAGAAGTGTTTTTTCTTGTTGTTCGTGTTTGTGCGCCAAAGTGCGGTATTATGCTCTGTAATTGAAAAACGGGATTTATATACAAATTATTTTCTGACATTTATATGTATAAAAAATCTAATTTGATTTTGAATCAATCGAATTCATAAAACAGACTTTATTATGTACAAAGCTTTACGATTCACCGGCGGTTTTAGCTTAAAATATTTAACTGTCAACTGTCACTTGAGTTGTCACTTGTCTTCACTGATTACTCATGAGAAGTGTCAAGTAACAAATTTTCAATTTGATTTGAATTTTTATTTTTTCATTCTGGTCGAAGTGGTGTTGTTTAACGCTCGCTCAGAATGTTTTTACAAACCTTAATATTTATTTTTATTGGTTCTACGTTAGGATATAAGGTTGATAAAGGTATGTGATCCATCTTAAATAATAGAATTACACGATTAAATATTATTGGAGTGAACCATTTTACAGTAGAAAAAGTTAATTGGATCTACACATTACTTACCCGGTTCCAGTTATATTTATTTTCTTTCACAATAAAAATGGTTTCTTTCTTCTTGAAGAGTTGTGCGAAACTTAAAAATATACGTGTTTATTGTAAAATCCAATACTATTTCATTTGTAAGAGGTAGTTATCTATAATAACTCTTATATTCTTACCTACATAGCTTCTCCGCCGCGATGGAGCTCGGTGTATACAGTTAAAGGATTGCTAAATATTCCATATGCAGAACTTCATGAACCATTTTACGCTTGGTAAGTATAATTTTTTGATTAGTTATTAATTTTTTAACTAGATTGAATAAAAACATACAATATTTCTATTCCTTCTGAATGTCTTTAAGTTACTATTGTTCTTTTGCATGATTTATCTATACATATAATAAATTTGTAACTAAGCCGAATCTGTACATTAAATATTTTTTGGAAAATCTTATTGAAATAAACATTATTATCGATACAGAGGCTGAATTATAGTTTTTAAATTTTTTTCTGTCTGTCTGTCTGTTACCACATCACAGAAAAACCACTGGAGGGATTTTGATTAAATTTATTATGATGACAGCTGGTTATCCGGGTCAACATATAGGATACTTTTTACCGCAGGAAAATATCTCATTTCTGAGAAAAAGTGTAAAAACTGCAATGTACGAGTATACTAATCTGTAAAACCTAAGAATTTGGTTTTTCGTCATCTGAATGCTGGCGGAGCCGCGGGCAATGCTAGTACAATATAAAATACTTAATTAAAATGGAATAAAATGTTATAGATGAACATCTATTGCATGCATTATTATTTTAAAATATCAGCAGTAAATACTTTTGTTTTCACAGTTGTACATGCACACAATTATGATGATTCAACACAAAGTATTGCATGTTTAAACAGCAAGCAGTATTTGCTTGAGTATGTTCTAAATTGCCTATTTAGGTATACTGTAGATTATACAAATTTATTTAGATCAAAGGCCTTGTAGTTACAAACAATGTTTACGTTTACAATTGCAATAAACTTTTAAGTTTCTTAAATTAATTTTTGTTCTTCTCTTAGTAAAGTTATAAATATTTAGTAAAGTAAGACAATGTTTTTGTGATGAAGAAAAATTAAAGAGCTTTATTTTCTTTTAATTTACTGAAAAAAATAAATATATATATCTCATTTTCGGTATGAATTAAAAAAAATATGACTTTATACTAGAAGAAACTTCTCAGAATATTCATAATGAGAATTATTTATTTAAAAATAAAATGTCAGAAAGTACAATTAGCATGTTAATAAGTTACTAAAATATAACATTAATTTTATGTTTTTAATCACAGTATTCACAGAATTGTTTTACGACATGAGATCATTTCTTGAGTTATTATATGAACTATCTATAGGTCATGTGACTTCTTGATAATATATTGTTTACAATTGACATTATTATTTTGATTTTATTCAGGGCTTTGTTTTATATATTACATTGAACTATTCATAGAGATACAATACAAACTGATTATAATCTGTATTAAATTAAAAATTGAAAAAACTCCCGACATGTAATTTGCGATTTTGTGGTGGCGGCCATCTTGGATTTGAAATTTGTCATAGTGTATACTGTATAGTATTCAACTAGTCAAGCCCTTTCTTTTGATATTTTCATTTTGTGGCGGAGGCCATTTTGGACCGATTTTCATCAAACATATCACTCCTGACTAATTCACCTTTCAAACAAAAAAAAAGTCGAAATCGGTCCATCCATTCGGGAGCTACGATGCCACAGACAGACACACACTCAGACACGTCAAACTTAGAACACCCCGTCGTTTTTGCGTCGGGGGTTAAAAACTGTCCATATTCTTTTTTTTTAATCAAAATACTTATTTATATCAATCATGATGCTTATTTACATCTTTGAAGTGAAAAATAAAGTTCACTCAATTATAATATTATCTTCTAGTGATTCACCCTTACTCCACTCGAGTTTGTTTCTAGGTTTTTTTGATACTTTATAAAATTTTACAAAATGTAATCATTTTAAAGAAATATTTGTAAATTATATTTTTAATTTTTATCTCTTTCTCTTATTCACAGATATCTAAATTTAAACAGAGATTTTTTCTATATATTTTTTTCTTGATGGCAGAGGAGTGCAAGTGAATCTCCTTGCATCTTCACAGTGCCCATGTCCATATTACTTTTGAATAAGGACACAGTAAAAAAAAATATTATAATATGTTTTAATTTTAAATGGATCGTAGATTATTATAGTCAAGTGTTTATTTAATATGACTCATTATGAGTTTATTGTGAGTATTGTTAATATTTATCGAATAGGTATACTTTGTATTTAGAAGGTCTTTGAACTTTTTTTTTACTTAATATGTTGATTAAATTAAAATACATACCATTCTTATCTGCTTTAATGACACCAGCGACATTACCTTACGCGTCCCTAGTACACGGATTTTGTTCGCAATTTCATGGGTTTTAATTTTTTTGTTTAGAAACCTAACTTTTTTTTTCTTAAATGAAAGTAGCCTAAATTTCCGTCAAAATCAGTCCAGCCTTTTGGAGATTATCCCGAACAAACAGACAGACAGACAAAAAAAGTTAAAATTGTTTTTATTATTAGTACCGTAATATATACTTTCATATGCATTTAGTAAAAAGCTGTTATTTTCATTTTACAAACAGACACATCGTTTTTGTTTATCTGTATAGACACCATGGTAGGTAGATCTGTTATAAAAACAGTATTTTATACTTTCTACTAATGTTTTTGGCTATAGTTTATAGGTAAAACCATCGATCGCATTATATTGCATGCATTTCTATATAATAGGTACCTATTTAATTCTACTTCGCCCGTGTCTTTTAATTTTTAGAATTATTCCGCTCTCTTCGGCGTAGTAAGATGGAATAGAATATAACTGTTCTCAATAAATAGGCTTATAAAACGCAAAAGTATATTTTAAATCGGACCGACGAAACAGACAGACAGACGGACGGATGGTCGGACAGACTGACAAAGACATAGAAAACAAACAAACTCTTCAGCTTTATATACATACTAGCAGAACCCGCGTCTTCGCTCGCGCTAACACTACGATTTTTTTTTAAAAAGGTAGTTTCATACAAACTTTCATCCTCTATTTCACCCTCTTATAGGATGAATTTCGAAAAATGCTAAAACACGTATTTATTTTATTTTATTGAAGAGCATTAATAACAAGTTTCAAGTAATTCTGCCCATAAATATTTTTTTGGATTGTATTACAACGTGTTTTCCCGTGGGAATGAGATAGTCTCCCGCGGTAAAAAGTAGCCTATGTCACTCTCCAGCCAACTATCTCAACACAAAAAATCACGCCAATCCGTCACTCCGTTTCGACGTGAAAGAAAGACAAACAAACACACTTTCACATTTATAATATTAGTATGGATGTAGGATAGGGGAATGCAAATAAAAGTACTTAGAGAACACACCGGCTATTTATTTTATCAAAATTACAGAAAACCACGTTCACGCGCACCGTCGCGTTGTGCCGCCATTATTGCATTAATCACCCTTATTTTCTTTTATTCATCTTGCATTCCATCCTATTCATGTTTTTTTTTTGTTTTTATTGTTGTTTTTTATTAGTTTTGGTACGTACAATTTTGTTTCTTGTAATTGTGCTCGTGGAGGGCTTTAATAATTGCATCACAGTTTATTAACTTCTGCAATTGTTATTGAACGGTTAGTATGGAATTGATAAAGTATATATTATATATACATACTAGCGACTCTGCCTCGCTTCGCTCGGGTTCGTCCCTGGCTTGATTCCCCATACAAACTTTTCGGTATAAAAATATCCTATGTCCTTCCCAGGATCTTAAACTATCTTCTTACCAAATTTCATCTAAATCGGTTCAGTAGATCCAGAGATTACCTCCTACAACGTTACGAACTCTCAATTCATTAACTTTACTTCTTTAAAATATTAGTATAGATATAGGTACAAAATAAACAGTTCTGAACTTTTCGAATGTTCAGCTGTTTTTTTTTACGTTTTCCCTATATATTTTTTATGTTTAAACCACCCCTGACACACACTCCCAACAAAAAATATATTCATACCGGTCCAGCCGTTTTTGAGTTTTAGCGAGATTAACGAACGGCAATTGATTTTTTTTATATATATTATCTGTTCTGCTATTTATGTACTGAAAATTTCAATAAATTATTCTTGAAATCATGTCATATGTCTCTTAAAATATGATTTCACGCATACTTATACTTATCTCACAAATTCTACAAATATTAGTATAAATTTTCAGAAGCGGGTGCTAGTTATACTAAAGGGCGAAATGGTACTTTATTATTAAAATTTCTAATTCTTGTCAATACTTTTACAAAAATGATTTCAAAAATGGCAATAAAGTTAAAATTTTAATATTAAGTATAAATATTGTAAGGTACTTTATTGCCATTTTTGAATTTTTGAAATCATTTTTGTGAAATAGTGGGTAGGCACTGTCTGTAACAAGTATGTGTTTGAGACGTCTATAACTTAAGTCTCTCCCGTGACCACGATTGCTGTAAAGCATTCGAAACGTCGGGAACTAAAAATCAAAATAAATCCGCGAAATAATCCGAAAAGATAGTTTTATTTAAAATGTCAAATATTCGCGTAAATCTAAGACTGTATCTTGTCAATAGGTTCGACTACAAGAATGGCAAGTCTCGCATCGATTACTATGGGGCTATGGTCAAGACATACCAACTTTCGGCCTCTGTTTTTCCGCCATTTGGCACCTCCATTAAGGTATGTATTATATGTTATTTTTCTCCATCGGTGGTGTAGTGGCTGGCTGTACGGCTGCACATCTGGAGGTCCCGGGTTCGAGTCCCGGTATAGTATCTCGGGCCAAGTTTAATTACTCTGTTATTATTATTGTTCACTTTTTTAGGAACCTAATAAGCTTTGGAAATATTCAAAATTTCTGCGAATTTTAGGCCGATTTTCTTAATTATTTTATTTAATGCATAGTTTATACCTTTATATTAATAGTATGTATTAGCGACTGCTTGTTCACAATTTCATGGATTTTAATTTTTTTGCACGGAATCCTAATACTTTTTCTAAAATAAAAGTTGCCTAAGTTGTTCCTTATAACATCAGCTAACTGCCAGTGAAAGTCCCGTCAAAATCAGTCCAGCTGCTTCGGAGATTAGCCGGAACAAACAGACAGAGAGACAAACTGACAGACCCTTTTTTCTTATAAGTAACTTCAATTTTATTTATTTATATAGATTAGTTTTACAACAAGAATACTTCGGGAATATTTCTTTATAACTATAAAGAAATATTCCCGAAGTACTAACTAGTTAATAACGTCGTCACGTTCGAGCAATAGGTAGATTGTGAATTTAATGTTACTTTTTAAAAGGTAATCGACCTCTTTAAATTATTATATGTATCTATCTATGTTGTGTACGTATCAATTGTTATACCTAATTGTCACATAAGTGTCTGTTAATGAACTTGGAAAACGATAACTTCCTGCGATACAATAGCGTAGTAACCTATTATGACAGTTTTGTCGTTCCGTTCGTCTGTTTGTGTTGATTTTGAAAAAGCCGATAAAAGATATGTTGCAGATTCTAAAAATTATTTATTTGTGTATTTTTTTTTAATTTTAGTGATGTCCTTTTGACCGGTTTTTTTTTATTTAGTCTGTACACATTGTTCAAAACTACAAACAACTGACAAAAGCGCGTGTATTTCGGAGTGGTAATCGATAGTGTAAAAAAAGAAATCCGTTATCGGAATTTGAATGAACCCTTTGTGACCTAAACAGGTTTTTTACAGGTGTCACCCCCATACAGATGGCACCCATAAGAAATCACCCTACCCAATCGGGTGACTCCTTGGTTATGCTACTGATTAATATTATATTTCACAGATAGCGCCAATAACAACAGAACAGGTATTGAACCGTGAAACATGCCTGCAAGTGAATGGAAGCACGTCTGAGAACATCGGTATCCAGTCGGTGTTGCCAGATATGACCGACTTTCAGTTTGTTGGTGAGTATTTATATTAGACTAGCATTGCCCTCGGCTCCGCCCGCGTTAAGATGACCAAAACCAAATTATTAGCTTTTACATGTTAGTATATACCCTTACAATGTGGTTTTTGTATTTTTTCTCAGAAATGAGATTTTCCCGCACTAAAAAGTATTCTATATGTTGACCGGGATAACCAGCTATCACCATACCAAATTTCATCAAAATCCCTCCAGTGGTTTTTCTGTGATGCGGTAACAGACAGACAAAGATTATAAAAACTATAGATTCGGCCTCTGTATCGATAATAATGTTTGTTTCAATAAGATTTTCCAAAAAAATATTTAATGTACAGATTCGGCTTAGTTACAATTTTATCATATGTATAGAAAAAATAAATATTACCTTACTGTAATGATGATTGACCGAATAAATTACTTATTAAGCCATTTTTAACGTCCCACTGCTTGGGGTTTGCCTCCCTTCAATAGGAGTATCAGGCCATAGTCCAACACGCTGGCACATTGCGGGGTGGATTTCGTGTGTCTTTTGAAAACCTGCTAAGTTCTCTCAGATATGAAGATTTGCTCACGATGTTTTGAAATCACAACGATTTTAAAGAAGTTTCACATTTAAATAATTTTATTTTTTCCAGGTACAGAAACAATGCAAGATTCTGAGACGTCGAAATGGCGTATGGTTACTACGATGGGGGATAAAATCAACAAATACACCATGTGGGTGAAGTATAGGAAGAGTTTGAAAGGAGATGCCGTAGCGATACCTGTCAAGTAAGTGAAGTTTCACTAAAATAAACTTAGGTTTTATTGTATTATAATATATACAAACACTATACTTATATTTAGGACATGTTTAGTTCAGTTTATATTTATAAAGAACACTTTAAGTATGCGGGAGTTCATCTGCCTCGAGTTCTCGCACTGTTTTTCAATCTGTGTCTAAATCATTCATATTTACCGGAGCCGCTTATGCGGACTATTGTAGTACCAATTGTTAAGAACAAGACGGGTGACACGTCCGATATGAGCAATTATCGCCCCATCTCGCTTGCTACCACCGCAGCTAAAATACTTGACAGTGTGATAAATGGCAGGCTATATAAGCACGTTTCCTTGCAAGATGCCCAATTCGGCTTTAGATCAGGTCTGTCGACAGAAAGCGCTATTCTTAGTCTGAAGCATACTGTCAAGTACTATACTGCAAGGCGTACGCCGGTATATGCGTGTTTCCTGGATTTATCTAAGGCATTTGATCTTGTTTCATATGATGTACTTTGGATTAAGTTAAAGGACGCAGGTATACCGGCGGAGTATACGTCCCTTTTGAAATACTGGTATGCTAACCAGAGAAATCAAGTAAGATGGGTCGGTGCACTGTCGGATGAATACAGATTGGAGTGCGGAGTGAGACAGGGAGGTTTTGAGTTCACCCTTGCTTTTCAACCTGTACATTGACCAACTCGTGGAGGAATTGAGTAACACGCATGTTGGCTGTCACATTGACGACACCTGTGTCAATAATCTAAGCTACGCAGACGACATGGTCTTGCTCAGTCCTTCCATAGCCGGCTTAAGAAAACTGATAGCTACCTGTGAGACTTACGCGAAGGTGCATGGCTTAGCATACAACTCAAAAAAGAGTGAAATACTTGTGTTTAAGTGTCAAAAATTAAAACCACGCCATGTCCCGCTCGTGAGTCTAAATGGTGTATCGCTGAGCGTTGTCGAGAAATTTAAGTATCTTGGTCACATCATTACTAGCGATCTACGGGATGATGATGACATTGAGAGGGAACGCAGGGCGTTGGCGGTTAGGAGCAATATGGTCGTCCGCAGATTTGCTCGGTGTACGAAGGACGTCAAAATAACACTATTTAAAGCGTTCTGTCAGTCCTTTTATACCTGTAGTTTGTGGGTGGCATATTCGCGCCGGGCCTACAACGCCTTGCGTGTGCAATATAATAATGCCTTTAGAATGCTGTTGGGGCTGTCGTGGCGTTGTAGTGCTTCAAAGATGTTCGCAGAGGCACACACAGATGGGTTTCATGCCATTATGCGCAAGAAAGCTATTTCTTTGATGCAGCGTCTACGCGATAGCAACAACAGTATTTTAAAGTGTATTTCGGCCAGAATGGACTGCCCCTTTCAGAAACACTGGATGGAGTTGGCCATTGGGCTAAGATGAATAAAGAATATATAAGTAATATTTTATGCAAAAAATACTAACAATACTAACATAGTATTAAGTATAATTGTTACTAACCAATTAACAATATATGGATGTACTTACGTCTGAAATAAAGATTATTATTATTATTATTATTATAAAGAATGCCCCCAGCGGGTCTCGAACCCGCGACCGCTGGCACAGCAAGTAGGGTCACTACACACTGAGCCAAACATGTCCTCAAAGTTATGATGAGAAAAATTCAGGTATTGCACATTTATTTGCCGTGTTATTTTATCTATACATATAATATACAGGATGGAACAAATCGATGGGACATGGAAGCAAAGTAATTTAAATATTGAAGTTATCGAGATTTACTCAAAAGAAACATTTATTTATTTAAAAAAATAATAACTGCATTTAATTTTTTATAAAAAAGCTTACCTGAACCGGGAATCGAACCAAATAATAACGCGAAAATAGAAAATCCTTGAAAATTCAAATTTACAATTTCACGAAAAAGTCCGCGATAATATGTATAAGGTACACACTCGTATAAATTATTTTTATCTATTCAAATATATTAAATACAACATTAGAGCTACTGGCTTCTTTTTCTATATGCTTTTCATAAAATGGGGATAAAATTGAATAGTTTTCATCCACTGAGCTATAATTGTATATACTAAGCTAATTTTACATTTTAAATAAAACTATCCTTTCGGATTTTTTTCGCGCAGACTGAGAGAGATCACTCTCCCGTGACCGTGATTGCTGTAAAGCATTCGAAACGTCGGGAGCCAAAAATCAAAATAAATCCGCTAAAAAAATCCGAAAAGATAGTTTTATTTAAAATGTCAAATATTCGCGTAAATCTAACTAAAGTATCTAGCTAATTTTAATATAAACGTTTAATTCTTTAGGTACGAAATGAAAGGCTTCAATTCGCTGTTGGGTTCTCATTACGATCATTATTACATCGACTACAGCGATTACAATGTGGACGACATCGACCAGGACGTGTTCAAAGTTGATCCGAGTAAGAACTCTACAATAAAATTCGTTAAATATTATAAGGTTTAATTTTGTATATCTATGGAATTTTTAACCACGTTTTATAAAAAAATATACTTTTAGTAATGTACTAGAGCGACTCACCCTAGCTTCGCTCAGGTTCTTACCTAGCTTGATTCTCCATACAAACTTTCATCCCCATATTCACCCCATTAAGGGATGATTTTCGGGATAAAAACTATTCTATGTCCAGGGGCGGCCTTAGCCATTGCGAGGCCCCGGGCAGGAGATCTTTGCGAGGCCCTTGTCTTTTATGAAATTTATGTGAATTGAAAATATTTTTAATGATGGTGCTTGGCGAGAAATGTAAAATTTATAAATAAATAAATTTAGAGTTTTAAAATTGTATATTAGAAATTTATAAAAGTTAGCAACCACAAAAAATACAAAATTATTTTGTCAACATTTTTAGGGTTTGTACGCAAAAACTTGCCATTAATTCTATTAGCTCATTTTGAAGAATTTTTCAGAGATAGTGGACATTATTAGTATCTTTTTAGCAGCGCTAGATTCACACTAGGAGCATTCAGGGCTAGTGCTCAGGGCGGCAAATTTTTAGGGGCAGCAAAATTTGGAGGGTGGGAAAAAAATGTCTTCACGTTATCGAAAATGCTTTTTTTAGTTCCCAAAAAATGAATAATTAAAAAAGACTAAGTAGTAGATATATTTTTCGAACAAATAATATCACTTATAAACTATTATTTTTGCATTTAAAAAAAAAATATCGAAACTATTCATTTTATGCAAAGCTGCGATAACAGGGCGGCATTTTTTATAGTGTCCAGGGGCGGCACTAAGGTTGAATGCGGCACTGCTCTTTAGAATTCACGAGCTCGAAGGAGCTCGGTTGTTTGGAAGGCTTGTGTGGGCAACACCGGTCCAACACGTAGAGACCACTTAAGAGATTTAAATGTTTAATATGACGCATCAACCGGCATCCATCTCTGAGTAACCCATAAGGAATTGCGTAAATATGGTTCCGGACAATGCGTAGGGACTATGGAAAATATGGAAAACTAAATGAGTCTATGGAATGGAATTTGGACGGGCTAAAAACTGGGATATTGGATGAGACTACCGAATGTCCGCCTTCTCAACAGTCTCAGATTCAATATTTGGCAGACGGTGACTCGCCTCCCACTAATGGCATAGTGCCCCGGGCACAACATCAGTGTGGTTGGCTACGGTTATCGAGAAGTGTTCACCGGTTTCACCATCACAAGTGCTCGTGGGTTTCCCCGTTATTTTACAGAATGAGCACTTCTACCCTCTCAAGGATTTGGCTCTTGCGCTTCACTTTGGGCGGCCAATGAAGGAAAGCCTCTGGGCTAAAGAGTTAATAGTTGTACAGCTTTTTAATCCGTTCTCTGAATTTAATAATCCGTTCACAATCCGTTCTCTAAATTTAACCGTTTTAACATACAATCTTTGTGCAGCCGAAGTCGTGAAACTTTAAATATTTACCCAAGTGTTTCCAATTGCAAAGTACTGCACTGGACCCAATTCTTTATATTCTATTCAGAACAATCGACAGAAGAAGTAAAAATCTCAGTTCGGTTTGCATCAGTAATTATTGATGGTCATAAACCTGGGTCATTTTACGTATTGAGTATAAGATATTCAATTCCGCCACTCATGGATGTAGACGTAGATTTACTCGTAGATACGTATTTCTGGCTGGATAGTGTTGACGACGGCGGCGGCGGTGGAGTAACAATAATGTTGTTCACTTACTATTATCATCGCTAGGTAGTTACGGCATCCCAGATGATGTCGATAAAAATATTTCAGCTGCCTTAGGCTTAGAATGCAAAAACATGTCACTTTTAGTCACTGAAAGGTCTTAAGGACTTAGAAGCTTCTTGACCATCACCTTTTATATATTTATATATAGACTCATACAGATTTTCTTCTACCTGCTTTCTTTTGATGGCTTGATACCTTTTTGAACTACCAAACTCAATTTTTCTACTGGCATCACAATCGCGCGAACTTATTTAGAAAATATTTTTTGCACATAAAATTAATTAAAAAAATACAAGCAGTTGTACGCAGTCTTTTTACTAATTCATTCTTTACTATAATTACTATAATAACGTAAAATTTAATATTAATAGCTTATTGACTTAAATGCTACATGCTTGTACTGGCGGGATGTGGGTTTTGTTATGTCCGGCCTAAGGCAGGAGATTCATCAGAATCAACTGAAACCCAAGTGTATCAACACTTGGGTTGTTATGCGAAGGCGCGAGGCCCCTACAAGCGCGAGGCCCTGGGCGGTTGCCCTGCTTGCCACCCCCTAAGGCCGCCACTGTCTATGTCCTTCCCAGACTCTCACACTATCTCAGTACAGCGGATTTTCAGTTTCTCCATTACAAATAAACATACAAAAAAACAAACACACAAACTCACAAACTTTACCCCTTTATAATATTAGTATAGATATGTATGTATTTAAAGTGTGTAGTGTATCAACTATCTGTTATCTATAAGATAGGCCTCGTAGCTTACCATGGAACTAGATGGCGCTGTGTGTTAATGTCCCAACATATTTATATTTATGGGTAACCAAATGTAACATCAGAGTAACAAAAAAGCTATAATTAAAAAAAAAATTAAAACATAATTAACCTACGCGTGCGAAGTCGCGAGTATATATAAAGTTAATAAGTTTATTTTTTTACAGGTTTTGAATGCACATCTTTCCCGGGACCCGGCTCCAAACACTTCGCCACATTCAACCCGATGAAGGAGTTCGTCCATCCAGTGCACGACGCGCATGTGGAGAGTGAATTTGAAAGGTTTGGTTGCTGGTTTCAATATTTTTGGTTCTTGATTGAAATTGAATGAATGAATAAAATAATGAATGAAAAAAAATGAATGAATGAAAGAATGAATGAATGAAATCTGTATTTGAATACTACTAAGTAAATAACGGGAATGGGGAAAGCATGGGTGGGAGAGGCCTATGTCAAAGGACAACTTGATCAACAAACATGTCATATTATATATTTCAAAATTATATTTTAAATAATATTGAAGTTATAAAAAATTATGAGAGTAAAATTTTTACGATGCGCGCGCACGCCGACAGCTAATAAGCATGACGAAGCAAGACATGATGAATTTAGAGCTGAAAGAGACATGATGAAGTTAGCTGCATTCCTTTTACAAACAGAGAGTTGAGTTGTCACAACATACGGGATGAAATGTTAAGCTATTTTTGGTAGCACTGGCTCTGTTATATCATATTGTGACGTCACGCCAAGCGTGCGATATGGCGGGCGTTTTAAAGTATCCGTATGCATGTGATAATTTTTTTTTTTTTAAATTACATAAGGATTTAAGCTAATGTATAAAAAAAATCACGCATATTTCCAACAAAATTAAAAAAAAACATATTAAGCAAAAATATGAAATTAATTCTTACCCATAAGAACAAATTGTTGAATGATTTATTATATATTGATTACAGTAACAACATAGAATTTTGTTTCAGGTTCAAAATGAAGCATAACAAGCACTACTCGTCGGACATCGAACATACGAAACGCATAAACATCTTCAGGCAGAATCTTAGGTATTTTTTTCTTTTAGTTTTTAGTTTTTTTTAAGCTTTTTTTTTACAATTTTTACCATAAAATGAACTTAAAGCACCATTTATTTACATGAAGCAAACTTTTTTTACTTTGTGTATCAAATGATATTATCTGTGATGAAGTTATAAAATGGAAAGAAACAAGTTTTAATAAAGCTATCTTTTCAATAAATTATGGTCACTATTATGTCAGTCTCTCCCGTGACCATGATTGCTGTAAAGCATTCGAAACGTCGTGAACAAAAAATCTAAACAAATCTGCAAAAAAATCCGAAAAGATAATTTTATTTAAAATGCTAAATATTCCCGTAAATCTTAAGGAAGTATTACAACCAACTAATACAATACTATATATGTTTACTGACTTTGAAAACGATTTATTTAAAACTAGCAACTTACCTTCGCTTCCCGCGGTTTTGTTTGTGAAAAACGAAACCAAATGTATCCCACGGGAACCGTATGTTTCCGGGATAAAAAGTAACCTGTGTGCTATTCCAGACTATAATCTATCTCTTATTTTTGTAGATTCGTCCATTCAAACAACCGCGCGCGTCGTGGCTTCACGTTGGCAGTGAACCACCTCGCCGACCGCACGGACGACGAGCTGGCCTCTCTCCGCGGCAGGCGCTACTCCGGACCCAACCAGGGTAGGTATTTGTTGTGTTTTATGTTGTCCTAGGACATGGATCCAACTAGGATAAATAGCTCTTGTGTTGTTATGTTGTCCTGATACGTTTTCTAACTATGTTGGAAATTATTCGCACATGAAAATATTAGAGGTGCGAGATCCGGGATTTGAACCTGCTTCACTCGGTTTCAGGTGACAAACACACGTATAGAAGAATTATATACAGGGTCATTTTTAATTTAATGAAAACCTTTTGGGAATACACTATTTACAACATAACAACAACATCTGTAAGAAAAAAAATATATATCTTATATTAATAGAATATAGATATAATTAGTAAACTATGTGTATATGATATTTGTTTTCCAGGTCTTCCTTTCCCCTACAGTGAGGCAGTCCTGGAGGAGATGAGCGTGAAGCTTCCCCCGGAATATGACTGGAGGTTGTTCGGAGCAGTTACACCTGTTAAAGGTATGTTTCTTTCTGAGTTTCTTGCGCCAGTTCTTTTCGAACTGGTAGTTAAAGTAATAGTAAAATAATGTAATAATTTAATGCTATATGTATATATAATAAAATATTTTGAATTTTAATTTTCCTTATATACTTATGTACTATCTTAGATTTACGCGAATATTTGATATTTTAAATAAAATTATCTTTTTTGAATTTTTTTGCGGATTTATTATGATTTTTGGTACCTGGCGTTTCGAATGCTTTACAGCAATGAAGATGAGGACGTATATTGACCTTTGAGACGCCTTAAACCTTAGTCTCTCCCGTGACCATGATTGCTGTATAGCATTCGAAACTTCGGGAACCAAAAATCAAAATAAATCCGCAAACAAAATCCGACAAGATAGTTTTATTTTAAACAAGCGACTCATCCTCGCTTTGCTAGGGTCCGTCCCTAGGTTGCTTCCCCATACAAACTTTCATCCTCGTTTTCACTTCCTTAAATTGATGATTTCCGGGATAAAAACTATCCTATGTCCTCCTTAAGGTCTCAAACAATCTTCTTACCAAATGTCATCTAAATCGGTTCAATAGTTTTGGAGTCTATTCGGTACAAACAAACAAACAAAAAATAAATCTTTCGTCTTTATAATATTAGTATAGATGTTAAATGTAGGAAAATAATTTAATTCCTTTTCTTTCCCTCCTCCCTCTGACCAGTCGATTTCTTTATTGATTTTTTGATTTCCAACACGATTACCACTTGTCTTAACGGTGAAGGAAAACATCGTGAGAAAACCTGCATGTCTGAGAGAACCTAGCAAGTTTTCGAAGGACATGCTCAGTCCGCTCGCACTTGGCCAGTGTGGTGGACTATGATCTTATCCCCCCACATATCAAAGGGAGGCCCATACCCAGCAGTGGGACTTTAAAAAGGGCTGAATATTACAAAAATAACTTAATGTTCTCTCTAGACCAGTCGGTGTGCGGGTCGTGCTGGTCGTTCGGCACGGTGGGCGCGGTGGAGGGAGCGCTGTTCCTGCACAACGGCGGCCATCTTGTGCGGCTCAGCCAGCAGGCGCTCGTAGATTGCTCTTGGGGGTAAGAGGGGGTGTTATTGACTCACTAAAGAGGGGGGGGGGGGGTATTATAAAGTTGGGATGTTTTGTGTGTGTGGGCTTGTACGCGTGTTTGTGTCTTCGTTTCGTGATATTATTGTATAACAAATTTTAATCGATTTTTAGGGTTCCTTATTTATATAATATAATAATCAAGAGTCTTGGACCAATGTTCATAATTATTTCATCAACGTCTGTGTCTTTTTATTTGTGTGTACAACGTAAATTATAATTGATTATATTTATTTTGTTAAAAAATTGAAGTTGTCAAAAGACATTTTTTTCATATAGCAATTCTGATAAGTTTAAGAGTTATTCCAATTTAATTAATTAAGTACAACAGCGTGTAACTTCTATGAATGATGTATTTATAGTTTCGGCAACAATGGCTGTGATGGCGGTGAGGACTACAGAGCGTACCAGTGGATCATGAAGCACGGGCTGCCCACCGAAGAAGACTATGGTGGTTATTTGGGACAGGTATCTTGATAATTTTTATACTATACTAGCTGACCCGATAGACCTTGTTCTGTTAAAGCAGGTGTGAAGCAGCCAACAGTGCCGATTAGAAAAGACGTTTTTACGTGAAATTTTTCCAATTTTTCTCATCATAAGCACCTTATCGGACTTCAATGAATATTTCTGCATGTTTGTCTTTTACTCCCTTACTCTCATGTGATGTGATGACAGTGACAATTTTTAGGCAATCTTTTTTTGGGACGTATTGTAGGTCTAGAATTCGAAACATTAACTTAGGATCCAGGCATGACATTATTGTTGATTTTTCTTTCGAGAAAATTCGAAAAAGACTAATCATTTAATCATTCGTAAATTGATTCGCACTTGACATCTTTTTTTTACAGGACGGCTACTGTCACATAGACAATGTGACGCTGGTGACGTCCATCAAGGGTTGGGTGAATGTCACCGCTAAAAATGAAAACGCTTTAAAAGTAAGTTTTTTTTTTTAATTTTCTTATTTAATGCTTTCTTAAATTTATATAATATAATGATGTTGGAAATTTTTTTTTTATTTCAACGCACTGATCTCTGGAAGTATCAGTTCGTTTTGGGAAATCTAATTAACTTTTGATATCCCAATTCTTTAAAAAGGTTACGTTTTTTGTATCGAAACAGTAATATGTAAATAGACTATGCGAGTGGAGTCGTAGGAAAAGCTAGTTTTAAATAAATCTATTCGGATTTTTGGAGGTTGTGTTTCACTTTCTTCGGCCAACATTTCGAATGCTTTCAATATTGATATATAAAAACATTGATACACATTTCCTAACAAATATATCTTAAAAAAGTATCGACACGTCACGTTAAGCCAAACCAAAGAATAAAATTCAAAAATCGAAATATTTAATTGTTTAAACACAAATTCGAACTTACGCACACTACATAAAGTACTTTTTTAAACGAAACAAGGAGCTTTTCAATTTCGTCATCCGAATAGCAGTAAACAAAAGAGATTGGACATTAGCGCACAATTTCGAATAGTGTGCTTCTATTTGAGATCAATTTTGAGACGTTAATTGAGTATATTGAATTTTTGTATATGGTTTTAATGTAAAAATGTGGTCATCTAATAGTAATATTTATTTTCCAGCTGGCAATATTCAAACACGGCCCAATATCGGTCGCAATCGACGCGTCTCATAAGACCTTCAGTTTCTACTCCAATGGCGTGTATTATGATCCTGATTGGTAAGTTTTTTTTTCAGTATCTACATTGAATAAAGATGTATTTAGATACACAATCAGCAACAACAAAATGTCCTCACCGAATGAGCGCTCATTTGAACATTTATGCGCTTTTAATATTTTTTTCTTAAAATAACTTTAAGCATTGCATTTAAGGTTCAATTTACACTTGTATGTTTATTTCAACTAGAATAATTACCTAAACACAATTGGTGACAGATTCAAGAGAACTTTAGCATGGGATTGTGTATCTAGTACTTTTTAATCGATGAGTATTATTTATTCTATCTACATATGTATATATATGTATATATAAAAGTTAAATGCAAAAATTACCGACCAATCGCCTTCGTGTCTTTTCCATTCTACGTGACATTGGCAAAGTAATCTGTGCTCAACTGGCACGCTTTGAAGCCCTTAATTTTTTTTTAAATGATTATTATAGTAATTAAGGGAAGTGGCTGAAATAAAATCGGAAAATTCGGAATCGGATTTTGTACGATTCAAGGAGTTAAATTATTTTTTAATAACCCATTAGTCCTTTGTTTAGATACTTAAGAGGTTATTTTAAAATTAGATTATTTGAATTTATCATGTATTGAAATTTATTTAAACTGATATTTTAGGATTTTTAGGGTTTATAATTTACAAGATAAAACGGAACTCTTATAATATTATCACATTTGTCTGTCCGTATATCATAGCCACTTTACTAGGAGATTAGAGATGATGTGAGAACTGAAACTCATATAATAACTGAGATGTGAAAAACATAATATTACATTTAGATCTAAGTTTTTTTTATAGTAAAGTTGTAGTAAACACTTCATACTGGTTTATTTCTTTATAAGTGAAAAAAAATACAAAAAAGAACACAATAAAAAACATTGTCCTCTATGCTAAATACAGATATATTTGACGACACGTTTGGCTCAGTTTTTAGTGAACCTACTTGCTATGCCAGAGGTTGCGGGTTCGAGTCCCGCTGGGGGCATACATTTGTGTGATGAGCACGAATGTTTGTACTCCAGTCATGGGTGTTTATGTTTATAGCATGTATGTATTTAAAGTTATATATGTGTAGTGTATCAACTATCTGTTATCCATAACACAGGCCTCGTAGCTTACCATGGAACTAGATAATGTGTGTGTGTGTGTGTTAATGTCCCAAGATATTTATATTTATTTATATCAAAGGCTGAACTGAAAATAATAGAAAAAATAATAATATTTCCAGTAAAAACGAAGTGGACCAATTAGACCACGCGGTCCTCGCGGTGGGCTACGGCGTCCTCAACGGGGCCAAGTACTGGCTGATAAAGAACTCGTGGTCCAATCTATGGGGCAACGATGGCTACGTGCTCATGGCGGCGCGCGACGACAATTGTGGAGTGCAGGCTGCTCCTACTTATGTACTAATGTAAATGGGGCAGATATGGAAAATGGATGGGGGGAAAATGAAAAGGGGGGGGGGCATTAGTTGAATGAATGGTGTGTATTTTATATTTTGCGAGGGGAGGGGGGTTTGGTTACAGGTGTGCTTATTTTGCATAGATAAAGACGTGTTTTTTTTTCTCTTAAAGTAATGATATTGCATCATTTTTGGTGTATTTGTAAGTTACATTTTTATTTGGTTTTAAATAAAAAATGTCAATTGCGTATAATATCATTTTAAAATAATTTATATTAAAAAAAATACAATCTTTACAATATAAGCATTAGACATTTAATTGCCTTAATAAGTTTAATAACGTTTTAAAAAATATTCTCATATTAAAAAATATATATTCTAATTTTAACATTTACATTCCACTCTTTTAAGCTGTCTAATGAAATCTCATTTTTTATAGTTTAAGATATGTTTTAGGCTGTGCCGTTTATTTGCTCTCTGTTTTTAATTAAACTACTAGTTGTTAAGTACATTTGCTTTCATACTCTGTATAAAAATATTTTTTTCTTTTATAGCAGTGATTAAAAATAAAAAGTAGTTTATAAATATAATTAAATGTTAAAAACATATAGAAAGTTTAATAATTTCTTTTCTTTAATAATGGACAGTGCTATATTTTGTAGATTTAAAATTAAAAATGAAAAAAAATTCGTGTTTTTTATTTTTTTAATCTTACCATATAATGTTTATGTTAAATACAGACAGAACCTTTATCATTACCAACTACCACTATCCTAAAATAGAAGATATTTAGTGTGGTTTTAAAAAATGTCACAAATATTCAATTTAATTCCATTTTTCTTGATAAGACGTCTATTTGTAATAGAGTAAGAATATTTACTAGATTTCTACAAAAAATCGTTTTCAAAATTTCAAAAACTACTAAAAACGTTCAGAATTACCTGTTAAAAATTACCATAACATACGTCAGTTCAAAAAAAAAAGTAATTAAATACTTTCTTTAATTAATCTATACATATAATAAAATTGTACCTAAGCCGAATCTGTACATTAAATATTTTTTGGAAAATCTTATTGAAATAGTAATTATTATCGATACAGAGGCCGAATCGAATAGTTTTTAGAATTTTTGTCTGTCTGTCTGTAACCGCATCACAGAAAAACTACTGGAGGGATTTCGATGAAATTTGGTATGGTCATAGCTGGTCAACATATAGGATACTTTTTACCGCGGGAAAATATCTCATCTCTGAAAAATATATACTAACCGTTAAAACGTAAATAGGGGCGAACCCGAGCGGAGCGAGGGTGAGTCCCTAGTTAGTATATAAATACCTAGATTACATCACGGTGACACTGGCATTTTTGTTAAAAAAACTTTTTACCGCGGGAAAATGTCTCATTTCTGAGAAAAAAATACATAAACTGCAATGTAAGAGTATATTAATATGTGAAACCTAAGAATTTGGTTTTTGGTCATCTGAAGGCAGGTCCGCGGGGAATTGCTAGTTTATTATAATAATCTATTGTATAAAGTTGAAGTGAGGAGCGGATGTTGGAGAGGAGGCGCTAGTGTTGCGGTGTGAAGTATGACCTGAATAAAGGAGAGTGGGATATGGATTTGGAATATGGTATATATATGGAGGGTGGAAGTAGGGAGGACCGTCTTGTATGGGGGATTAGTTGAAAAAGTGTCCATTTGTAAACAGCAAATTATTGTTCGAACACTCACCGAAATAGCACTTGTGTAGGAAATGGAAATGATATGAATTTAACAGTTATAAACAGAATGAAGTGTGCTGAGTTGAAAAATTTAATATAATTTACAAATAATTGGGGTACTTAAAAATACTGTATAATTTTATTCAATATTCATGTTTATCTGTATATTATAATAATTAAAAAAAATGCGCTCTAACAAAGCGAAAATTTTCCTTTCCTTTTTTAATTTAGTGTCCTACTCTAATAATTTGTGGCGCTCCTTTTTCCCGGGGGAGAAGCCAACTCCTACCGGGCGCGTCCCCAGGTGGCGGATAGGGGCATGCCACCCGCTTAGAGGGGCGGGTGGTACCGGAGAAATCCGGCGCGGACCAAATGGCTTGGATGGGGCCGCTCGTCTAGGCCTCGAGCCGAAGACGTTGCGGCCACCGGTGGTGGGACCGCTTGGTCCCACAACCGGATGATGGGTGCCGATTGCGGGACTGTGGTCGCAGGCCCGCATTCGGCGGAGGGGTAGGCCGCGGCGGGAGAGGAGTGCCGGTATTTCGGTGCGCCGTTCTCCCTACCTTCCGCGGCCTAGACGGGGCCGCCACCGTTTGATGGCGGACGCGGTGGGGCTGCAGGGGAAGAGGAGTGTCGGTGTTTCGTTGCCGCTCTCCCTGTCCTCTGCAGCCGATTGGAGGTGGCCCACTTTGGTGGGTGGTGTTTGTGTGGTGTGGGGCTGCTCCGGGTACTTCTCTGATCAGCAGAGTGGACTTAGGAGCGGCCTCACTTTTTGGGTTGTAAGTCTTCCCATAATGGGGTTGTCCCGCTTGGGGCGGCCTCATGGTTGGTGGCTTCGGCCAACCGTCGGGGCGTCGCGGTTGTATGCGAGAGCGATCCCGTGGCGCCCCACATGGCGGCAGAGGGGGAAAGTTGGGTGGCGCTCCTTTTAAAATTCTTTCACTTGCTACTATAGCGCCACCTTAATTTGCTCAGCGGACACTTTAATACACTGAGATGGTCCTCCTTACTTTTACCCTCCATAGGTATGGTATATTATGTATTATGTACACAAATATCTTGATCAGGATTAAATTTATTATCCTGCAGTGTCAGTGGTCTAATTAAATAATTAAAAGAGCGTATAGATTTAATAAATAAATCCTAAAAAATTTATAATTTGTGATACAAAGTTATTTATGAAAAAAATCCTATATATTTCCTCACCGTTTCACTATTGATTTTTGTTAAATAAAAATATCCTATATTAGCTATGCAGAGGTAAATCAATGAAATAAGAACCATATTATGTAAATTCAAAATTTTAATGTGGCGGTATCCACACACACATGTTACCGATCTTCACTTGGTTTCCTGGACATACGTCTTGATAAATTGTTTTCTTGTACTGAAATTAAAGATTTCAGATTATGAAATATATATTAGGTGACACATTTGGTTCAGTTTGTAGTGATCCTACTTGCTGTGCCAGCGGTCGCGGGTTCGAGTCCCGCTGGGGGCATTCATTCGTGTAACGAGCAAGAATGAGCCAGTCATGGGTGTTTATGAGATCCGATTTCGATGGTTATTTTTTTATTTGAAAGGTAGTAACTTTAAGTTGGTCTCACAGTGAAGATCTGAAAAGAATCTACGGCGTGATGAACAGAATAGCTCCTCAAAATGCAGTTTGTGCTCGCGAGGTCTATTGTTCGCAGAACACTAGACACTAGTTATATCTTTTCCGAAAAACTCCAAGCGTAGCTCGTTCGCTCAGGTACACTAGTGTGTATGTGACAGAAACTCAACACCGTTAGAGGATGTACGTAAACTGCTTTACAAATGCGTGTAGATATCACTCAACTGATTTTTGAAATTTACAAGGGCAATAAATACTTTCAGTTGTTCCAACGAGTAGGAATAACAAATTCACATATCTACATACAAACTTTTGTATTATAATATTAATTAGTTTACCGTCCAAAAGTTCCATGGTGGGTAATGGGGTATCCACTTCTTGGGTTTCTCAGATTTCGTCTCGTATTCATCCGTCACCACTTTTTCCCCGGGCGCTAACATGTCGTTGTCTTCCCCCGACTTCTCAAACTGTGGACTTCGAAGAACACTGCCTATCAAATCTACTAATTTATTATGAATTTTAACCATTTTATTACGTTTATTTATTTTTTCAGCCAATTCCCTAAAATAATTCATTTTATCATCTTTTAGACTTATTGGGGACATCTTGAAAATTTTCTGTAATATTTTATTAGTTTGAAACGAAGGTGATATCTTTGTTAAGTATTTACTTTCAATACTGTCAGTATTTTGGTTGGATTTATCTAATCTTATTAAAGGTTTGTATAATAATTTGAATTTGTCGTCATATTCCATTTTAAACGGTTTATTATGTGGCACTATTCTTTTTACTATGACTTTATTTTCTTTCTCGCTGTCTATAAGTTCTTTAACTATTTCTCTTATCTCCATCGCTTTTGGTACAGCATTTATCTGTTTATCTCCCATATATGATAGATCTTCGAAATCGTTTTGGCATAATTTTTCAAAGTCAAGTTGTTCACAGTTAATCGATGGCAAAATTACTGAAAATAAACTTAGATGTATGAATTTAGAAACGACTAATATAAGGCACATTTTAAAAAGTTTTCTAAGTTACGAAAGAAATGTAATAAGTAGATTTTTGTAAGAAAATGTTACTACGCAATTATAATTTTAAATCATGCGTGCATTTAGACATTAATACTTTTAAAGCTATTTGTAAGATATACAAGGTACCTATAATTATCGATCAAAGGCTGTATGAGTTTTAAAGATATTTCGTACAGAAGTATTGGGATTATATCTCGGTGGTCAGCATGTACTGCATCAGTTGTGTAAGCCCTGGGTTCGAGTAACGTGTCGAGCGAGAGCTTTTCTATCAAGAGATTTTCAGTAAAATCCCGCATTTGGAAGTATTATCATACGCCAAAATGCCTTACATCATTTTGGAAAAGAGCTGATACTCTTACACTGCTGGACCGATATTAACCAAACATAGCAAGAACCACTGCAAAGAAACTGGCTTTCTAATGAAAAATACCGCGTCGAAATCGGTTCATCTGTTTGAGGGCTACGATGCCACAGACTGACACACACACACACAGACAGACATCGACATCTTTATAATACATTTCTTTATCTATTAAATTGTTATAGATTTTTGTCAAACAATTTTTTGTTAGCTTTACGTGCTCTGCCTCCCAACTCTGAACTGTTCCTGAGTTTCTTAGTGGGAAAATGATAATAATTAAATTTGGCGCAGAACTCAAACCGAAAACCTCCGGCAGCCTTACGTGCTAGCCACTAGATCACCGATGCAGATAACATAATAATTAGAGTGTAATAAAACAAATTTTACTAAAATATTGTATAAATAATTACAAAGGCATTTATTTTCAACCGACTTCAAAAAGGAGGAGGTTCTCAATTCGACTGTATGTTTTTTTTTTTTTTTTTTTATGTTTGTTACCTCAGAACTCCGTCATTTCTAAACCGATTTGGACAATTTTTGTGTCGTTTGAAAGGGTATACTTCCAGATTGGTCCCATTTAAATTTCAAAAAAAAATACCACCCCTAAGGGTGGAAAAACTACTAATGATGAATTTAACCTACTTCTAATTGTCATATTGACTTGAAACTTTGCAAGTATTTCTATTTCCGTTGATAGTACAGTGGTTCGGTGTTGTTGACCTGATCTGATGGCAAGGCCAGAAGGTGGATAGGTGGAACTCTTCAACGGCTAATAGTAGATACTTGAGAGTTTGGGCTTATTTTGTTTGATTTGACAAGCCTAACACGTTAGAATCCTTACTTTTCTACTACTGTCTACACTAAAAAGGGAAAAATAAAAACTTTTTAACAAAAAAATAAAAACCGACTTCAAACAAAAGCACTAAAAAGTAAACAATAACTGATTGGTAGTTTACATTTACTATACATACCTAATCAAATATTTTCGAAGTCGGTGTGCTTTGCTTTGTATGGGCTGGCACCGATTTCGAAAATATTTGATTAGGTATGTATTTAATAGGTAGGCTCTAATTACTTAGCCAAAGTATAAATAATTACAAAATAATTCCATGTATAAATAATTACAAAGGCATTTATTTTGTACTTATTTACTAAACAGAATTTGATAATGTAATGCTCAAAATATTTAAACAAATTGAGCCATAATTTCACCCAAAATTTGCTTTTCCATTTCTTTATTTTTAACTTGAGCTGCAAAGCCTGGTAAATCGAATAAATCCCAAATTTTTGAAACACGGTCTCTTTCCACTTTCTCAGGTCGCATATTACACCATTGGCACGATTGAACGGTTTGCGGTTTTAAGTACCGGAAAATTGGCCTTTTTTGTAGCTCTATTGATATAGAGAACGGTGTAAGCAATTCCAATGTTAAAAATATCATAAAGTGTAAGAATTTCATCTGAAAAATAAAGATATTAAAACAATTAAAAAGCATAAGCACCAATAATAATAATGAGTTATTTGCTAGTAGAATGTATTCCAGCTTAATTATGTTAATTCTAAATTCAATATGGTATACAAAGTTCTAGCCGCGTAGCGCTCGGCTTAGAATAGGGCTACCCCATCTCCTCCTGCAGGTGTCGTAGAAGACCACTAAAAGATCTAGGGACATCGAACCTTGAGTCCCTTGATCGATGGTGGGAGAACAACAGCATTCCCAAAGAGGATTGACGTCAGAAAGGCGGCCGGTCCAAAAACTTTTGCCAAAACCAATAAGCAGTATGGACGTACTGTGCCGATCCCAAGTATTTTGGGAAATTGACAGGGAGATGATGATTTGTAAGTAAAAGATGTATGTATATATACATTATATATATACGTTTTACAGTGAAGGAAAATTCTATGAATAAATATTATTTATTCGTAGGGAAAATCTCATAAGGAAACCTGAATATCTGAGAGAAGAGAGTATCCAAAATACATGCTCAGTCCGCCCCGCACTTGGCCAGCGTGGTGGACTATGGCCTGATCCCCCTCGTATTGAAGGGAGGCCCGTGCCCAGCAGTGGGACATTAAAAAGAGCTGAATACGAATGTTAGAAGGAAATAATATCACGAACAATTTGACGACCGCAATGAAATTTAGAACAAAGCTATCATACATTTAGGATTTCGACATATGCTATTATTTATCTTAGGAAATAAAATAAATCCCGCAGGATTGAAACCTAACTTTTACGATATTTGTTACGATAACGACCCAGTGTGAAATGTCCAATAAAAGTTAAATTTTGAAAGTGATGTAATTTATATAGATTAGATTTATTATTTATTTCACTAATATATAAGAAAATGTAAAGAAGCAATGAATTTATATATTTAATTAAATTATCTTTAAATTTTAGGTTTTCTTTTCATCATAGATAAATAATATAAATATGTTGGGACATTAACACACAGCACCATCTAGTTCCATAGTAAGCTACGAGGCTTGTGTTATGGATACCAGATAGTTGATACATTACACATATAATTTTAAATACATCACATTATAAATATAAACACATATGACTGGAGTAGAAACATTCGTGCTCATTACACAAATGAATGCCAGCGGGACTCGAATCCGTATCAAAACAATATACTAGAAAAATTGTACATCTTAAAAAGGCCTACAGAAAAGTCCGCGATAGCACGCGTCTATCTCCTAAAGTACGCTCACAATAACTATTTTTATCTACAATACTATACTAGCATTGCCCGCGGCTCCGCCCGCGTTCAGATGACCAAAAATCAAATTCTTAGTTTTTATATATTAGTATACTCTTACAATGCAGTTTTTGTATCTATCTCAGAAATGAGATATCTTCCCGCGGTAAAAAGTGCTATCATCATACCAAATTTAATCAAAATCTGTCCAGTGGTTTTCTCGTGATGCGGTAACAGACAGACAGACAGACAAAAATTCTAAAAACTATAGATTTGGACTTTGTATCGATAATAATGTATATTTCAATTAGATTTTCCAAAAAATATTTAATGTACAGATTCGACTTAGTTACAATTTTATTATATGTATAGATAAAACGTGTCAAGAGACGCCAACGAGCGAAGCGAAACTAACTCGCTATAATAATTTCAACAGAAATTACAGTTCAATTATCTTTACATCTTACCTTCAGCCTTCAGGTAGATATAATTTAATGTAAACATACAGTCTACTGTTGCGTAGTTCAAAATTACACATTCATAACAAAACACAAACATATGTAGAAAACAATTTTACACGTTCAATTTACAACAATAATTACTTTAGCCCGCCGTGTTATTATTACACAATTGAATATGTTAAAATTGAAATAGGTACTGAAAGCTTTTTAATAATGAATTGTCATATGTACTTAATGAAAATAAAATATTATTTTTAAATGTATTTCTTTGTTATTGTGATTCCTGCTTTAAATGGCAGCGTGTAGCGCTAAATGTTTCTTGAGACTTTCTCGTTCTACATCTGTAGTTTATTCTTTTAACTATATAATAAAAAAATACTATATAAATGTGTGTATTATTCTCGTAACAATCTCGAATCTTAATTTTTTAAATAACCAAAGATGTGTAACTTTGAACTAAAAACAACTTTATTATATCTATACATTTATCCAATCAAATCAAGTAAATGAAAAAAAAAATGTCATAAAAATCAAGATGGCGGAAGTTTTGATCGCGTCACGTCCCGCCATAAATGTTTTCTTGGAGACGCGCTGTAAATTACCCTTAAAAGGTTTCTTTAGTCCCGTCCAAACTAAGTTTCACGTGACTTCGCCGTTTAAAAGTGTTCGGTGCAAAAACGAAGTTGCCATTTAAAAATTAGGGTTAACAAATGCTTTTTGCTACCTTCATTTTATTAAATTGTAAATTAAAATGTGTTATTTCTTATTAGAGCTACGATATGTTAAAAGTTATTTTCCAAAAATTGTCAAAATGTTACGTCATTAAGTTATTGTGGGGAAATAATCTTTTCTTTGTGTTTTTTTTTGTATTTTTGTTTTTTGGTGGTGGTGTTTTGACAATGCGTGCCTTTTCTTTCTAACAATAGAATAATTTTACGTTGTATAAAGATTACTTGTCGATGGACCGAAGACTTAAAAAGAAAATGACTACATAGACTATTTTTCATTTTGGTGTTATAAATGTATGGTGTTTTTCACTTATGGAGTGGAAAAACTTTAAGTGGAGTGGAATATACTTTGTAATAAACTATGCACAGGCATTTCTAGCCAAACTTTTTTTTACATGTATAAATAGGCAAAAACAAAATTCAGTGCTATTTTGTCCTCTGTTTTGCAACCGTTTTTTTTATTTAGTAGCTATTAACGACACGTTTGGCTCAGTGTCTAGTGACCCAACTTGCTGTGCTAGCGGTCGCGGGTTCGAGTACCGCTGGGGGCATTCATTGTGTGATGAGCACGAATGTTTGTACTCCAGTGATGGGTGTTTATATTTATAATATGTGTGTATTTAAAGTTTATATATGTGTAGTGTATTAACTATCTAGTATCCATAACACAAGCCTCGTAGCCTACCATGGAACTAGATAGTGCTGTGTATTAATATCCCAACATATT